TAACCATTGACCCACACTGGCCAGGACAATATTGCCTGTTTTTTAATCAATAATTTTTAAAATCAGTCCCTAGTGATAACTACTATTATCTGTCTAACAATATCAATCTCAGCTAGCCGATGTGACTCAGTGATTGGGCATTGACCTATGAACCAGGAGGTCATGGTTTAATTCCCAGTCAGGGCATATGCCTGGATTGCAGGCTCGATCCCCAGTAGGGGTTGTGCAGGAGGCAGCTAATCAATGATTCTCATCATTGATATTTCTATCTCTCTCTAAAAGTATATTTAAAAAATAAAAATAACAATCTTTATCATAAGCTAGACATAAAGGCATTTATGAAAGTATTATTGATAAGCAACATTAGTGAGAGAGAGACAATCATATTTACAAGAAATTTGAGGCTTTTTCACTTGTAGAGACCTAGAAATTTAACCTAACAATAATAAAATATGTGTGGCTATGAGGAAACATTTTTAATTAATGAAATTCTTTTTTTAGACAGAGAAAGTTTACTTGACCTTCAGGAAAGTGGAGATATTTGCAAGACATCAGGGTAAATTTTAGGACTAAATACAAAATCTCTGGAGACGGTATGGGAAGAAATTACTTGAGGCTTCTTGCGAATTTTATTATGGTTTGATCATAAATACCATGCAAATATCCTTTGTCAGTGTGTTTTGGCAGTTCTTCCTAGGAGATCAAGGAGTGAAGAGGATTACAAAAAAAAAAAGGAAAATGAGGTTGATTTTAGACTAGAAAAATGCAGTGGGGAATTCTATAACTTTTTAGCCAATTTTCTACCTCATTCCTGTGTCCACTATACAGTATTCCAAAATCTTTACAGAAACCAAAACTGCAAACTTCAAATTGAATCAAAACTTCATCTCTCCCAACAATGTTGAGAATAACCAAAATGTAATCTCATCATTGTTCTACTATAGCAGTTAGGGTGCTTTGGGGTCTAAGAGACTAAACACTCAGGCCTAAGGTTAGAAAAGGGAATGTCCCGGGTCACAGAATCTAGGGAGGTTGACCACAGAGCTCCTGGAAGAAGAGGTGCACCTTGACCTCAGAAACAAATACAGCTAAGAATGTCCTGTCTGGACCTGCTCTTTGTCTCTACTTCTCTCTGTTTACCTGCGTCATCCTCTCTCTTCATAAATCTTATTCTACATGGGATATATGAATTTCTTTGTTGTACCTCTTATAGCTATAGTCACTTGCGGGGAATAAACTTCTTTGATGCTCTCTTTGGAACAAAGTCCTAAAATCATAGGGAAGGGATTGGTCCAGGCTACCCCTGGACCATGTGGCCTGTTGAATGGAGGACTCAGATTAGTCCACTTCACGTGCAGCTTAATTCACTGTGACTGGGGGAGCAGGATCGTGCAATAATAACATGGCAGCTGCCATGGGTATCATAAAGCTTGGCAACAGGGAAAATGGGGAGCCGTTCCCAGGCAAAGGAGAATGTTGTGGCGTGAGGCAGGAAAACCATAGCAGCACCAGGCAAAACCCACATTATATCCATGATGGTTATACGTAGTTCATGGAAGGCTAGGCTCTAGCCCACTTAAATGACTCTAAATGTTGAGATACATAACTAGCATTCCTATACCACATGAAGCAAAGTCCCGATGGAGCAAATAGAAGTAAATGATTGAGTGCTATCTTCCTCATGAAACTCTTTTTGAATACTTATGTGGGCCCTATCAAATGAACTCTTGCAAGTATTTATGATGGCCACTACAGTTTATCACATAATTGTTCTACAATTGTTTGAATAGTAGGCCTAAGTTTCTAGCTCAACTATAGGTATCTTATCTTATGCTTCTTTTGACTGGAAGACTACTACATCAAGATTAGTGTTAAGGGCATAATTTATTCCACATATAGTCCATAAATGATTTTTGAGAGCCTACTAATTGCTAGGCAACATCCTCAATCATGATACAAAGATAATCAAAGATGATCCTTAAAGAAAGCACATGATTTCATGTTTTTTGTCTCCATGTCACTTGACATAGAAGTCTAGCATGGCCAAATTTGATCTAGCAAGTGAATTGGCTCTCCAAACACCAGTGATGTATCTAAATGCAGTTTAGTTTGCCTATCCAGAAAAATCAGAATTTCCCTCCTTTTTAAGCCAAAAAGCTATTAATGCAAATCCAAATTAATTTGCATTTGATTGCATTTCTGATGGAAACATTCATGTGCAAATCAAAATTCATGCAAAAATAGCCAGATAATTCAAATAGTTGCTGAAATATCAAGATAAAATTAGGATGTTAAATGTACATCTATCATATCTACTAGGACTAAGGATCTTTAAATGGGACAGTGCTCTTGAAATAAGTCATGTCTTGAACATTTAACATTTGAGTAGATCTGGGTTCAGAGGGAGCTATTGCATTACTTTCTACTGCCAGAGTGCTGAAAAAGAGGTCAGTCATTGGTCAAATCCGTTAAGTTGTTCAAAACAGGTTCATCTGGATCCACCATTTTCCCCTTTATCTTTTTCTTGCCCTTAAAAACAAAGGATTTTGATAGATCTGAAGTGATTTTGATGATCCCAAACCATGGACAGATAGTTTGTGCAAGTCGGCAGTTGCTTCATACTTTCTAGTGACTTAATGGTGCAAGTTAAATGACACCATCACAATCATCACCAATAATTATGTTTTGGAAAACGTCCACAGCATCATGAGCATACCAGTGGAACAGCGATCTGACTTATTCTTCTAAAAAAATACTTCAGATTTAAGATTCCAAGATTCCAAGAAAAGATTTAAGCCAAATTTTAAGATATAAATTATTAATCCACTATTGCACATTCCAAAGCTATATTTGAAGGACATATAGGTCTTGGAATCACACCATTGCTCTTGTTGAAATTAACAGAAGTTTGGAGTGGCAAAAGAGAAAAGTTTGAGATCACCGTATTTAGGATTCTTAGCACTTAGTTTAATAGTCTACAAAGTGTAATGCTCCCCGGTTCTCTTTTATGTGATCCAATGTATTAGCTTATAGTTTCAAGTCTTTTTAGCATTCCAGTGGTTCTACTTTGGTGAATGTCACCTACCGTACATCAAATTTGAAAAACCTGAACATGAAGGAGGATCTTAGCCTCATCCTCTTTGGCACACCCGGTTCTTCCCCAACACTAGTGATTTTACTTCGGAAGTATCTCTCAAATCTAGCCATTTCTCTTGTAGTCTCTATCACCAATTCCTTAACTTTTATCTTTTGCAATCCTTGTCACGCCATAGCTGGATTTGTCATTTAAAAATGCAGATAATCCATAATTCCATCCAACCATTCTCCTTGCTTAATACCCTTCAATGTCTTCCTGTTTCTCTTACAATAAAACCCAAACCCTTAACAGGGCTGACACAGGCTGCATGGTCTGGTTCCTGCCTGCCCCCTCACCCTTGCATCACGCTGGCCCGCTTTCACTCTGCACTCCAGCACTGTCCTTTCAGATCCTGGGATGTACCATGTCCTTCCAGTCACCACTGCTCTTCCCTAGCTTCTAATTTAAAACTTCAGGCATTTTCCATTAAAGCTTTCCTGACCTTCCAGACCCCACCAGGTCCCCCTGTTACTTCTTCCATGCCACCATGCAACTTCCTTTCATTATACTTGAGTTTGTAGTGTCATATTTGTTTTTGAGACTATATCACTTGTATTAACTGCTCTCGTGGCTTTCTGAAGTATGAGACTGGATCCGTTTTTTGCTTATCCAAACAAGACCAGATGAGTGTCACATACCAGGCATTCAGTAAATACTTGTTGAATTCATGGAAGGTTCCACTTCCTATTCTCATCTATAATTCACACATTCATAATAGTGAAAGCCAAAAATAAAAATAAAAATGGAATGACTTGCTTGAAGATCACCCTGCCACAAATTGCCAGAGAGAATTAGTGTAGCGAGTTCTGTGATATCTTTTATGGCAGAGAAGGCGAGATGAAGAATATGGTGTTCTCAAGGTTAACTGCTCTCAGAAACTGTGAAAGTGGAACTCCACCATGAATTGTACAAAGCAAAGGACTTTTTGTCACCTCCTTGTAGTGGAGAATAATGTAACAGACACTCTCCCAACTCTGTCTTATGCATAAAAATTTTATTTAGAATATTTAAGCCCCACGCGTTTCAGAAACATACCTAGTAGTTTCAAATATACACAGTCTTGTCACACAAGTTGCTAAAATTGATTTATAACAATTATTCATTTCATGGGAATAGAGTCATAACTACAGTATTTAAAAGTAACATCAAACTCACACAGCCATATAGCCATTTTCTTACCTTACCCTGTTACCTTTTATTTCTATCAGTCATGAGCTTAATTTTATTTTCAGCAGCTTTAAAATACTGAGCTACATATTGAAATTATAGGAAAAGATAAACTGCCACATTCCATGATTTTTTTTAAACACAGCCCCGGTATTATCTCTCTAGGAATATCTGTGCTTTTGCATCTGTCTGGGAGTATGTAGTCCTGGTTGTCTGTGATATTCAGAGTGGAGCGTTAAAAGCTTATATTTAGCAACAGGATGTAGCTGTGGTTAGGGACGTTAAGTTTAGTGGACAATAAAAAATTAAATATACCTTTATTAAAAGAGAAGGAAGTTTTATATAGGCTATTAAAGTAGCTCTGAGCTAATATTATCTCTCCCTCTTATGAATCTTAGAATGTAGTTCAGCTTTTTCAAAAAATTTCCCTAGAAATCATTTGTGAAATTATGTGGACGGGTATCCCTGGAAAAAGAAAATAAAACATGCCTATGTAACTTAAAGCAAAGTCCTCTTTTTTGTATATACGAGTAAACATGTACCCCCAAACCAGTCATCTGCAACATTTCTTACAAATAAACTAGGCATTTGTAGTCTTTTTCTAAGTTACCATGTCTTCCTAGCAATGATGTAAGCAGACTTGGACTGCTAGGAGGAAGGCCCTGAAAAGACATGTCTTCTCCTTTTATGATTTCAGTTAAGAATGCAAATTGCACAGCAGACTTTGAGGAATACTTTGCCAAAAGGAAACTGGAGGAACGCGATGTCCACGCGGTCAGCATCGAGGAGTACCTTCAGCGCAGTGACACCGCCATCATTTACCCAGAGGCCCCCGAGGAGCTGTCTCGCCTTGGCACGCCCGAGGCCAATGGGCAGGAAGAAAATGGTGAGGCTGTAATTCATTTTTAGCCACTACACTGACCTCTGCAGCTGTTACAATTACAAATGCACTACATGCCTGGGTGTTTACCTTAAAATTTGAAGAACAGCTGCAGAGGCATGGAATTTCATGAGCAAAGATTAGAACTGTAATTTTAGGGTATTGTGAAATTTTTTTTGTCAGCAAATTTGTGTCATTTGTACATCCAATAAAGAACAAGAACAATTAGAGCCTATTTCTACGAGATAAAAATATCTAAATGGATTCCCATCTTTCTGAAATATTCCACTTTTCAAGGCAGAAACACACACACACACACACACACACACACACACACACACACACACACACACACGAAAGTTTAGAAAGACTGACCCTAACCTTTTGTTCTTTACGGACACCTGACAAGCCCCTTCACACTGTGAATTCCTGAGTCATTTGTGACTCCAGGTTTACTACGTACTGTCAGTCACCTCAAGAGAAGCTCCTCATTTATCAGCTGTTTAAATCCCCCCCCGCCCGCCGCCCCCCCAAAGCTCAAGTAATTAATTAATTTCCCAGCGCAGTGTGAGCTGATTCCGACAAGTCTGTCCCGGGTGCGCGCGGGGCCGGGTGCGCTGATGGCACTCGCGTGCACAGACTGCCCTGATTCCTGTCATGCCATCCCGGGCAGCCAGCCCATTAGCTGCCATTGATTTACTGACCTTTTGGCCCGCTTCTCTCCCTCCCGTCTCTGGGCTACAGACCTGCCACCTGGAACTCCAGATGCTTTTGCCCAACTGCTGACCTGCCCCTACTGCGACCGGGGCTACAAGCGCCTGACATCCCTGAAGGAGCACATCAAGTACCGCCACGAGAAGAATGAGGAGAACTTCTCCTGCCCTCTGTGCAGCTACACGTTTGCCTACCGCACCCAGCTCGAGCGGCATATGGTGACGCACAAGCCAGGGACAGATCAGGTGGGGGGTTGGTTTTAAGTGATTTCTTTCTATAATAACCCCTTAGAGAAACGATATTGCTTTGATTGGCAATCATTATTAATTTTTCATGGCATTTTGAAGATGCAGATCTTTTAATGGTAATAGCTTTAATTGAGGTCTAAATGATTTTTTGATGGTCTCTTCTAATATGATTTAATAGTCTTATGTTCACGATCGAATGAGTGTGTTAATTTCTAATTTAGAAATTTTATTTGCACTTTAACTTGACTTTAGTTTCATTTTTATGTTCCACAAAATAGTGAATGAAATTGTAGCATTTTAATTATACATTATTAAACATCTCAGCAATTTTAATTCCATTTTTCACCCCGTTTTACTGGGGGAATTTTTTTCCATATAGGATCTAAGTCAGAGTAAAAGAAACGCATGTTTCTTTCACTTGTTGTATAACACCTTCAATTACTTAGAGTATTTTTACAAGTAGTTGCTAGTTTATGAAATCTAATTAAGTGTTTTAAGGACATTTTTAAAAAGCATATAATATATGTGCATATATTGAACATAAACTGGATTACTGCTAAAATGTTGGCTATACATTAAAAATGATCCTTTCTTGATATGCATGTTTATTGCTGAATGGTAAAATTACTCGGCCTCGTTTGGCTTACTTGTGTTAAAAATAAAAACTCTATCTTTGACAGGTAAGCAAAGCTTCTTAAATCCTTAAAATGATTGGATAGGATTGGCTCACAGTGTCTCTTCAATGCTTTAGCAAAGCTGCTCTTTCTGTCCTCCTGGGAGAATTGACGGCACATTGATATTGTGACGTATTCGGGTGGTAACAGAAATGGTGTGTCTGCGTCCCAGCACCTGGCCCTCCGGAGCTGGAATCCCCCTAGAGGAGCCTCGCCACCATATCTGTTTTAAAAATTATTAAACAGGATATGCTACAAAACTCTTAAGTTTTGTTTCCTTTGGGCTTTATTTTCTTTGACTAAGGAAAATGAGACTAAGCAAACACAATCAAGCAATGATGATGGCACTATATTATGGAATTTTACTCTTTTAAGAGAACATTTCATGTAAATCACTCCATTTATATCTGATTGGGCTTGTCACCTGAATGTTTTTCAAAGTTCAGTTACAAAAACTATGCTTGCATAGCTACACTTATGTAACAGTTTACCTCCCCTTTCTTATGTGCACACACACTCTAGGGGGAAAAAGGGCCTAGATATTTATCTAGCATAACTGCTTTAAATTTCACATGCAGAAGTGTGATTGTGTTGGCGCATTATGAATGGTAGCTTTGGTGTTGAGAAGTCCCCTCATTTGCTCATGGCATTTACAATTAGTAAATTAAAATGATTGTATCATATTAACAGTGGCACAACTAAAGTTTATAGTAGTCCTCTGAGGGCTGTGGGGGGAGGCAAAGCAGCTGTTGCTGTTTGTTTATGCAACTCAGCAACATATGAGCGCTGGTCCCTCAATGGCGCTCGGCGGGCTGGGCTCCGCTTGATCTTTGAAGGTTGCTGCTGTTTGAACAAACCTCCCTGTGTCCCATGTAACACCATCTGTCTCACTAGGAATGTGGGAAGATTCAGCACACCCTAGCAGTTGTCATACCGTTTCTGTGCTGTCTTTTTGCAAAAGGCTTTTGTGTCATTGCTGCTTGAAAAAGGCTGACCTCCTACCTTGAGCATCCAGAGTGGATGACTGTATTTTTTCTTTCCTTCAGAATTCGAGGCCACAGTGCTTTTTATTTCCTTGTTCAAAAAGGTCAGCTGTGTTTGATTATATCTTCGCTGCTTTTAACTTGTCTTTTCAGCAAACTTTTTTTTTTCTTTTTTGGTCCCTACTCCCTAGCACAGTACTAAAAAGGAAAATGAAAAGTCGTTGAAGTCTTTCCTACTGGCCTGTGATAAAACTGCTCAAGATGTTGTCTCTTACATTTGATAATGAATCAGATCTGATAGGCAACACCTCAGGAAAAAGAGGGTTTACTTACATTTGATAATGAATCAGATCTGATAGGCAACACCTCAGGAAAAAGAGGGTTTACACTTGCTCCTAGCTGTTTTTTGTTTGTGGGAGGTGTTTTTTTTTCCTCTCTTCTTCATATTTGGTTTTGCTTCAGTGTAAGTGGGAGGTGTTTTTTTTTCCTCTCTTCTTCAGATTTGTTTTTGCTTCAGTGTAAGACACATTTTTACCCTGATACAGAAAATGCGATAAAATGAGTTGTTAGTGTGAGGGGACTTACTGGGGGGGGGGGATATTTAGAATTTTCAGGATAATATTTATTTTTTTTCTTGACAAACTAGTTGCATTCCATCAGGAAACCTTCAGATTTTCAAATCTGCAGTAAACACGGAGAACCACAAACATGTTCACAATTATGCTTTCTCCTCTCGAAAGGCTCAGAGAAATATTTTGGAAGAGATACTACAGAGATAATTCTAAAGCAAGTAGTTGGATGCGCATGTGAAAGCACTTTTTTTTTTATTTGTTCCAATTTTATTGCCAACATTATCACTTTTATTGCAACTCTGAAAGACTGGGCAAATAAATAAACATGCACTCAAACCTTTTGGCCTGTCTGAAAAAAAAGAGGCCTTTTAAAAATATTTGTAGCAAATTTCCTTTGTTTCTCCTGCACAAAACTGATGTCAGTCTTTCTCCTTTTATAGCACCAAATGCTGACCCAAGGAGCAGGTAATCGCAAGTTCAAATGCACGGAGTGCGGCAAGGCCTTCAAATACAAACACCATCTGAAAGAACACCTGCGAATTCACAGTGGTGAGTAGCAGGGAAGCTGGTACTCTCCTTTGCATTTTGCTTCATTAGGGGAGTCTAAAAGATTGCTTAACATGTACACAATCTTGCTTGTAGCTTTTTGGAACTCCCCACTTATTTCCTAAACGATGTGTGCCTGCTTTGTCTCCATGAGACTGTGTTACCACCAAAAGCATGATCTTGGTAGTCAGCAAGAAGAAGAATGCTTATAGTTCTTAAACACCGCAAATGCTTTATCACAAAATCTACAAGCTCCTTTTTTTACTTTAAAAAAGCCCCTTCTACAGATTAAATATTGTTGACCTGAAGAAGCTCCAATGTCAAATTCTAAAGAATATTCATTTTTGATACCTAACCATGAAAGAAAAAAATTGAAGAATTTTGGAAAAGAGCTTTTGTACCATACATGTTCCTTGATTCCTGAGAGTTGTATGTTACAAAACAACATCCTACCACCGAGATTTCTCCTTTATAACTATTTTGATAGTTCTGCTAAGCATTTTATTACCACATTGGATGCCACTCAGAGGACTAGCTGGATTGGTAGAATCAATGGAATCTCTGAAGAATTGATTAAAGCCATGGCTATCCTTCCCTTTAATACTGTGACATCTTTATTGTGCTATTGACCACACATTAATCTGACACTATGTTTAAAAGGAGGCTGCCGGTGGCAAGACAAGATTTGGGGTCTTGGCTGAAAAAGGTATAGCCCTCACCTTCCATTGCTAACATCTTGAATTATGTCCTCCCAGGGTAGATAAAGCCCAGAAACAGTTGTGGCCACATAATTCTAATCTAAGTACCGAGAATGTAGAGGTACCTCATTGTGTTCCTTTCCTTTGGTTTTACAGATTCTTGTTTTGGTAGACAATTGTAGTCGTTACTTAATCAAAGACATATAATGTTAACTCTAATTGTCATTCCAGGTGAAAAACCGTACGAGTGCCCAAACTGCAAGAAACGTTTCTCCCATTCCGGTTCCTACAGTTCACACATCAGCAGCAAGAAATGTATTGGTTTAATCTCTGTAAATGGCCGAATGAGAAATAATATCAAGACGGGTTCTTCCCCTAATTCTGTTTCTTCTTCTCCTACTAATTCAGCCATTACCCAGTTAAGAAACAAATTGGAGAATGGAAAACCACTCAGTATGTCTGAACAAACAGGCTTACTTAAAATCAAAACAGAACCACTAGACTTCAATGACTATAAAGTTCTTATGGCCACACACGGGTTTAGCGGCACTAGTCCCTTTATGAATGGTGCACTTGGAGCCACCAGCCCTTTAGGAGTTCATCCGTCCGCTCAGAGTCCAATGCAGCACTTAGGTGTAGGGATGGAAGCCCCTCTACTTGGATTTCCCACAATGAATAGCAACTTAAGCGAGGTACAAAAGGTTCTACAGATTGTGGACAATACGGTTTCCAGGCAAAAAATGGACTGCAAGGCTGAAGAAATTTCAAAGTTGAAAGGTTATCACATGAAGGATCCATGCTCTCAACCTGAGGAACAAGGAGTTACCTCTCCTAATATTCCACCTGTAGGTCTTCCAGTAGTGAGTCATAATGGTGCCACTAAAAGTATTATTGACTACACATTAGAAAAAGTCAACGAAGCCAAAGCTTGTCTCCAGAGCTTGACTACTGACTCAAGGAGACAGATCAGTAATATAAAGAAAGAGAAGCTACGTACTTTAATAGATTTGGTCACTGATGACAAAATGATTGAGAACCACAGCATATCCACTCCATTTTCATGCCAGTTCTGTAAAGAAAGTTTTCCTGGTCCCATTCCCTTGCATCAGCATGAACGTTACCTTTGTAAAATGAATGAAGAGATCAAGGCAGTCCTGCAACCTCATGAAAACATAGTCCCCAACAAAGCTGGAGTTTTTGTTGATAATAAAGCCCTCCTCTTGTCATCTGTACTTTCTGAGAAAGGAATGACAAGCCCCATCAACCCATACAAGGACCACATGTCTGTACTTAAAGCATATTATGCTATGAACATGGAGCCCAACTCTGATGAACTGCTGAAAATTTCCATTGCTGTGGGCCTTCCTCAGGAATTTGTGAAGGAATGGTTTGAGCAACGAAAAGTCTACCAGTATTCAAATTCCAGGTCACCATCACTGGAGAGGAACTCCAAGCCGTTAGCTCCCAACAGTAACCCTCCCACAAAAGACTCTTTATTACCCAGGTCTCCTGTCAAACCTCTGGACTCCATAACATCACCATCTATAGCAGAACTCCACAACAGTGTTACGAATTGTGATCCTCCTCTCAGGCTAACAAAACCTTCCCATTTTACCAATATTAAACCAGTTGAAAAATTGGACCACTCAAGGAGTAACACTCCTTCTCCCTTAAATCTTTCCTCCACATCTTCTAAAAACTCCCACAGTAGTTCTTACACTCCAAACAGCTTCTCTTCTGAGGAGCTCCAGGCTGAGCCTTTGGACCTATCATTACCAAAACAAATGAAAGAACCCAAAAGTATTATAGCCACCAAGAACAAAACAAAAGCTAGTAGCATAACCTTAGACCATAACAGTGTTTCTTCATCATCTGAAAACTCAGATGAGCCTCTAAACTTGACTTTTATCAAGAAGGAGTTTGCAAGTTCAAATAATCTGGACAACAAAAGCACTAACCCAGTGTTCGGCATGAACCCATTTAGTGCCAAACCTTTATACACAGCTCTTCCTCCACAAAGCGCATTTCCCCCTGCCACTTTCATGCCACCAGTCCAGACCAGTATCCCTGGGCTACGACCATACCCAGGACTGGATCAGATGAGCTTCCTACCACATATGGCCTATACCTACCCAACTGGAGCAGCTACTTTTGCTGAGATGCAGCAAAGGAGAAAATACCAACGGAAACAAGGATTTCAGGTAATGAGACGTATCTTTTTGCTGTGGAAGAGATGAAAATAATATCATTGATGTGCATGCAGGAGAAAAATGATAGTGAAAAAAATTCAAGTGTTATGGTTTCAGCAGAAATAGAGTTTGTTTTAATTTGAACCTAGACTAGGAAATTAAATGAAGAAAGAGTAGAACACTGTACTCTTTAAGCATATTTGCCTTAAAAATAGAAAGTATTTAATATTTATTTTTAAGGTCTGTTTAGATTGACTCATCTACTTTTGGAATTGTACTTTGATAACAATATTTGCTATTACTTCCATAGATGCTAAAAGTTAACATTTATAAGTCACAGCTGTTCACAATTGCATGTATAATTTTGATGTGCACTTGGTTTTATAAAGAATTTTGAAGAGTATTCTAAAAATTATTTTGCACATTCCACATGACTTTTTATATAATTTCAAACTAGTAAGTAATTTGTGGTTTTTCAAATACAAAAGCAGGTATGTTTTAACATCATGCAGTATAATCCCTGCTGGCAAAATAGGAGCATAAGTAGCATGCACCTCCGTAACAGCTGTCCCCGTATTCCATTTGACAGTACATCTGCCCTCTTTGTAAATGTATTTAAGCCTATTTAATCTTCTCTAATATTAATTAGTGCAAATGTAGTCTAAGAAAGCTGAACTGTGGACTAGCAAATGGAAATGTATGTTATCATGCAAGTTTGCACTCCTTGGATCAAGACAAAATAAATATCAAGAAATTTAATAATTTACTGATCCACATTCATTATTGTTCAATGCTGAAGGCTGTTTTAACATAGATAGAACATTGATAAAAAGTGTTATTAATATTCCCTATTTCAAATTAGAAAATTAAATATAAAAATATAGCTTGAGGCCGTTAGTTGGTAGACATACATTTAAATAGATTGCATAATAATAACATTTTGTACCTAAATATAAAATTCAATTAAAATGGGGTTTCTGCAGCTACATATCATTTCTGAAGTCAAGCACACTGGAAAATACACAAATTCTGATGTTGAATTTTCATTCATGGGTATTTCCTGATATATAGACAATTAAGGATTTTAGAAAACGTTATGTTTTTCTCACTTTCAGAATTAACCATTTTCTATCCTTGAAAAACTATGAGCTCTACCATCTAGGATAGAGAAGGTTTTTGTTGACATGTGAGACCTCATGTATTGTTTGTGTAAGTTAATAAGTTTTTTAAAAAAAAACCAAAAAACTAGATCAATTGATAGCAAGCATGATGAGGTTCTCCAAATGTCAGCCTATGCAAAGTTGTTTGGTATCAATACAAAGAGAAGAGACTGTGTTGAACTGTGTGATTACATCACAGGGAGAATTGCTTGATGGAGCACAGGACTACATGTCAGGCCTAGATGACATGACAGACTCCGACTCCTGTCTGTCTCGAAAGAAGATCAAGAAGACAGAGAGTGGCATGTATGCGTGTGACTTATGTGACAAGACATTCCAGAAAAGCAGTTCCCTTCTGCGACACAAATACGAACACACAGGTATGAGTGACTTTGACTAGCTAGTTAGAGCTTCCTGGCCTGCTGTACATTTCATAATATTTAATGAGTGCACTTGTGCAACATAAGATGTAGCATATGCTGATACCTTCAACAAGGAAGAAATAACGCTTTTGCCTAGCTCAGTAGGACTTTCTCATTGCCTGTTTATTGGATCACTTACGTGTTTGTGAGTGTGCTTGTCTTTCTATCTTCTGAATTAATCTGTACACCAAAGTCACTAATCATGTCAAAGGTATCTATAAATGGCCAGGAAGATGAAATGGCATGCATGATTCAATCAAGCTATTGAAAATATCTTCAAATACTTAAGCTGTGATGAACTTATATGTGTAAAAATGTAATAACAAAAGAAATTTAGTCAATGCTGTGTTAATTTCATCATACAAAATTTAAGTAGGCCATGATTCAGGGGTGATTCTGTTTGGTTTTAATAAATTGGCCATATTTTGAATAAAATGAAAGTGTTAGTTCTGTGAAAGAAAAGACATAAGTGATATAATAGGCCAAATATGCTACTGAAACTACTTATATTTAGAAGACTAAAATAAACTTTCTAAATTCATTTCCAATTCAGAAAAATTATAGAGTTGACAAGATGGCAGCTTAATTCTTCTCTTTGAGTAGAGAGATAGTGGGTTAATTTTTTAAAAGAAAGGTGAAGTACCATCATGTGAAGCAATATTACTTCCCATGATCCAAGATCTGATCTGCAACTCTGTGGTGCAGTGAGGCTGTGTTCCCTCCTGCCTCCTTCTCCCTCCACCCGTCACAGCAAAGTAACTCAGCCTCATCCCTGTCCCTAACCCATCCCCAGCTTTTCTCCACGAGAAACTTGGCATGCTTTACTGACCCTAGATGGGAAAAGGAAGAAAGTAGGATTTCAATCAAAATATTGGCAGGGGAAAATTATAGAAAATTTTTCATTTTAAACCGGGAAGTCTGGTAACAAACATTTTAATATAGAGGGGGAAAAAATCAACCTAACATTAATGCTTTTGGGGGAAAAGTGATGAAGAGACAAAACAAGAAAGAGAAAAAAGGACTGGCAATATTTTCTGTCATACTTTGTCTAAATACATAGCACTCTTTTTAGAGACTGAACACTGTCCTTGGGAAGCACTTCCTATTCATCAGCTTCCCTTTTCCTCACTGAGCATGTGCTGGAGGCAGCACCAGTGACCGGAATCAGCCAGAGAGTGGGGGGAAAGTTGTGTGAGTTCTGTAACATGAAGTGTTGAGAGTAATGTGAGGAGAACAAGGTTGATAAGTACCAGTGCTCTTACTCTAGCTCAGTTTTCTTTTCCTTCAACTGTGATATTAACTGCTGTTATTTTAAGTTCAAATAAAGATACTTTAATGACAACCTAATTTGAATAGCAGATCCCAAAAGTTTTTATGCTTGTGGAATATAATTCAAAGTTTGATATGTCAAAATTTTCCTACATTTGTCTTTTTTGATAGCTATCATAGATATTTTCTTTAGTACCAAGTCCTATTTAAGTATTTTTAGAGTAAAGATATTTTCATACCTAAATTTACTTTAATATTTTAATCAACCTCAAATATATTTTTATTTCATTATTCAGCTGCAATAGGCACATCACTGAAGGCATCTTTCCCTCTCTGATTGGTTTTATTATCTGACCATATGCAAACTCTATCATTTGCTACATGGTGAGTGTAAAACTTTTATTTTAGTGAGGGCTATCATACATATTGACATCCAGTCAATAACTTTTTTAAAAAATAAATTACATAGTCCATAAATTTCATAGGTATATAGAAAGTTAAGAGACCCAAAAGTTGACAAACATAAATACACATAATCAATTTGAAAAATATGTTGTATTTAAAAAAATAAAATGTTCTGGTCCTTTAAGATGTGAGATCTGCTGCCTAGAAACATTGCTTAGCAACAAGATGCTAACCATCCAATGGTTTCTCTAACTGTGTGATTAATTATCCTCCTGTTGGCTTACCAACTTGTCAAGTTTCCAGTGTGTTAACTTTTTGGTCTCTTGACCAAACATCTCATGATGTTACTACTGTCAGTGTATCAGGTTTCATCAAAGTGAAGTTCTTCATGAATTTTCTATCTTTATGATATATGTGGAAACTTAGTCCATTTTCCTTCCCTAATTGGGCCCCAAAAGCCTTGTATTTGTTTATATTAAGCACTAGTAATACATTGAAAATGTAATAATATGAAAATTATAAGTGAGAACAGTCTTTGGATTGATTGAGTCTAAGGTTGGGAAATGAAGTCGAATCATCATTTGAAAATATGTTAAGAATGTGTCACTGATAAAGTGTGTTTCTTACATGTTCACAATTTAACCTATAGAATAGTTTAAATTAATAAGGAAATTATGAGCTACTTATTCTTGTGATCCTGTGCTCTTTTACTTCGACCTGTTTAATTTATTCCTAGGCAGACACCAATGATATAATGCTTAATTTTTCTTACCAATGGTGTATTGCTTGCTTGCTTTTCCTGGGAACTGGGCCTGCAAAAGAGGAAAAGAACACTACGTAAATGTTGACTTTGATAGGATAAATTGCCACGAACAAGTACTGTGAAATAAAAAATCTGAAACCCCTGTTAGACACTGTTAAGAACTCATTTGCATTCCACTAAAATTTAAATTTGACATTTATTGAGTACTTTCTCTATTGAGATATTGAGGTAGGCACTTTTAAACCCACCTTATTTAGAAAAGTAATAAAAATGTTTCTGCTTTTAAGTCGATAAAGTAGAAGTTTTACATAAATGACTAGTCAATTTTATTTCTCAGTTGTATGATAATATTATTCATACCACAAATCTTCCATTTATTAATTTCAGTTATCATTCCAACTGTCAGGTGAATCATGAACCTCAATAGTAGAAAAAATTACCCTTAAAAAGTTTTGATCATTCAGTGTCAATTTGGATGTCTTTTCTGAACCTTATTCATGTGGAAATTTAATTCCAGGATGTCTTGATTTGAATTGGGTAAACCAATCAAACAAGTTCAAAAGAGGTGAATGTCCAAGTCAGTTTCTATTTAAATAGAATTTCCTAAATGCTTAGCAGTGAAACTTCTGGAGATTTAGGGCAAGATATAGGTCAGATCTCCCCACCCTTCACTTCCAAATTCTGCCCTTTGTATAACATAATAACTGAGCATTTTATTCTTTCATATTGGCAGTTCATAATGCAGAATTGATATATTTTTATTGTAAGCATATTGTTTATTATCAAATGAATTCCCCGAAAGTTGGTTGCCTGTAACTATGGAGTATCTGTGTAATAGACTGCAGTTTAGTGGGCATCACCCAAGCATTTCTAACAGGCCTTGAAACTTGTCCTGGAAAGTGTGTGTTCTCTCTAAGGATACTGCTTTGTGTTTGGTTCCTTTGGAAAAGAGAGAGGCATGTCAACTGCGATGTTCATTCAAAATTTTTCACACAGCCGATCCATGAGCGACCCATCTGGTTGACCTTTTAATGCTCCTGACCTGATGAGACATTAGTTTCTGAAGGAGGTTGTAGGACAGTTCTACCAATACATGCTTTAGCAAGGAAAGCACCAAGAAATCTTTCATCTGCAATTTCTCTTCTCTCCACTCAGATTTCTTTCTTCTATTTACTCTGCTCCTGATACATGCATCTTGCTTGCGACTTGGGAAATTATTGAAAATGTATTAATGAATGAAAATAAAAGGATCTAACATTAACTGAGTGCTTAGAATGTACTATCCTTATACTAGACACTCTTCTTACCTATGTTGTCTCCTTTACTCATATGCCCAGTCCATAAGTTCGGTCTCCAAGTGATTTCTCTTTTACTGACAAGAACCTTGGTCCTTAAGGAGGTTAACATAACTGAGACTGCACAGCGGGTCATAAAAGTGGATTTAAACCCAAGCAATCAGACTCCAGAACCCATCTCCCCTATTTAACTGAGCTGCCCTGTCCCCGTGAATAAAATTGCCACTGTCAGAAATGTCTTATCCTTGCTTCTGATAGCATCCTCTTCTTCAAGGCCCAACACCACCCAAGAGAGACCACATTCCTATATAGCGACTTCAAGTTTTCTGGAAGACAAAACCTCTGTCTTTTCCCCAAATACACTTCTACTTCCTGTTAA